AAAAAAAAAAAAACCTCTTTCCTCAAATTGCCTAAAACCTGGACATGTTCATAGCAACCTCTGTAACCATTATAATTCCACCATAAAGTCTGCAACCTCTGCTGGCCCAGTGGTTTCCTCAAGGGCTTCACTTTTCATTTTTGGTTTGTGGCTTCATTGCCTTCTGGGTGCGATCCTGGTTATCTTTCTTTCATCACCCACTTCTGCACTTTGTATTCATTACACTCTTTTGGAAGTACTTGTTCTACTGTTTGGCATTAAATCTTCTAGCTCATCATAGATTTCCTTTTTTCTTTTTTAAGATGAAACATTCCTTGGTCAAGAAGTTTCCTGGACACGGTCTCCGAAGCAGAAGCCAGAGTCTTTAAAACACTGGCTGGGGTGGGAGTGAAATGGATCTAGTATATGATCAGGGATATTGGTTCTGGAAGTTTTGTGGAAGGGAATGTAGGGCCCTGGCATGGCCACTTTCTTCTTGAGTTACTCTTTATTTCAGGGATCAAGCATAAACACGTTTCCTTTATGTTTGAATTCTTGATGGTCTCATGAAAGGAATATATGGAAGTCCACCAAAATAGTTACAATGGCTTGCTGCTGAATAGAATGCTTAATGTAACTTAATATCTGAGTTTGGGGTGAAAGACATGGTTATAATATATCCAGACCACTGATACAACACTTCGTATCATAGAATTGTTTGCAGAAACAGCTTCTCTGTGAGTAGAGGTTTCAAATTTGCACAATATGCCTGTTGACATGACAGTCTTACTTTTGTTATCAAAATACAGTCCCTCTGGGCACGAATCTGATGTACTGAAGTCTCTCTTCATTGTCACTGAAAACAGATCAGATAACTTTGAGAACACCAGAGAGCATCTTTCATGACACCTTTTTAGGAATAAAAATAGGGTAATAAAGATGCCTGCATCTTCAATGTTAATGTAAAGTCCTACCTCCCATGATAAGTAATGAAGCCATTTTTGGGGACCGTGGCATGTGCGTCCTCTTTCTGCATTCTCAACGTGAAACCAGCCCCTCAGAGAACTGAGATACTACCCTTTCTCAGCCTCTAGGTGCACTCTCTGAGGTGACCTTTGCTTGCATGTTTGATGCTGTGTCCACGGAACACCTTTCACAGGTTTTCAGAAGAATATTATCTGATCTGAGAGTGTCTAAAGATGCCCAGTACATGTTTGCCCAAGCGCATTCCTTTAAGCTTCTGGATTTTGTGCTTGATCCAGCTATTGAGACCCCTTGCGTGGATTCTGAGACATTGTTTGAATGCGGCTGAACACTGGTGTTGAGCAAACAAATGCTAGTTGTGTCTGTGAATGAGTCGTGTCTATTTAAATTGAAAACGTGCCAGCTGTGTTTACATCATTAGCACCAAACTTCCCAATTAAACTGTTGATACTATAAATATAGTACACAACTGTCTGAGGAATGGGGCTTATATCAGCATCCTTTTTACAGCTTGTTTCACTGGCTTTGAGGATCGGCAGCCCAATGCGAGCTGCCAGAGAGGCAAATGTTTGAGACCATTTTGGGGGCATATGGTGTCATTGTTTCATTTAGGGAATGACACATGCTGGGATTACTTCTTGATTGGTTCTGTCTCATCCAGATCTTATTTTAAAGGAAATGTTTTTGTGTTGCCTGCCTAGAGAATTTTCCATAGATGACATTTCTTCATGGTTTTGGAAGAAGTCCTTTCCAAGCTTCTCTACCCATACATATGTGTGTTTTCAGGCTTTTATGCCAGAAATAAATATGATACCTATGTCTGTGGGCTGAATATTCTAAGGAGGTTTTATCAAAATTACTGCTTCTGAGGAGTTGTCAAAGCTGGAGGAAGGTTTCCTGGGAAATCCAGCAAGCCTTTCATTACCAAAATCTGAAAGTTTTCTTCTTCTATTTTTAATGATTTTTCTCCACCCAAATCTAGGTCAATGGAAATGTCCTGTAGAAGGATGATAGTCTCTTGACCAAAAGAATATCTGAGTGTCCGTGAAGTGCAGGGCTAGCTCCGTGTCTCCTAGGTTCCCACCGCATGCCCTAGCAGTGTGGTCCTTTGCGCTCCTACCCTAGCGGAGTCTTCTCTTCTCCATCTCTTTCTTCGAAGTGGAGCAGCACGTCTGCTCGACAAGAACACTTCCAGCCTGCACTGCCCTGACCGGGTGCATAGCCCGAGGGATGGCTGCACGTGTGTGACCGAGGATGACATAAGCTTCGGGTTTCTTTTTCTCATGGTCAGAACTACTTTCATTTTCAGGTTTTGAGCTATTTATATGCAAGTGGAGTATGCGTGTTTTCGCTTCTGCCTTTCCAAGGAAGGTAGATTTGTCTGCTCCAGAGGAGAGCCTCTATGTTCCACATACTTTTTCTCTTGACTCTTACTAGGACCTTCCTGACATTCGCTCTCGGGGTCTGCCGGTGCTCTACGACTGAAGCATGCTGCCCCCATTCCTCTGCTTTCTAATTGCTCATTTTCTGCCATCTTCCCAACTATGCTGTCCTCTGCTACAAAGAGGCTGCTTAAAGCTGTCCACCCAGGGAAGAGAGACAGAGTACAGAATCTCCTAGGCTATAAAGGATGCAATTCTAATCTAGGCTGCAAAAGCAAACAGACTGATAGGAAAACTGGAAAAAAAAAGAATGGAAATAATACTTTATGTTGTTCCATTTTCTTTTTAAATCATGAAAACAAGCATTTGCTCTCATTCTACACAGGGTAAAATTTTCATCTTATTTGTCCCTGGGCCACATCACATACTCTGATGTCCCCCTCTCGCACCTTCCTTCGTGTGGAGCAGACCACACTCAAAGAATGCCCACTCTATTTCCTGCCGTCTAAGGGGACTGAAAGGGTTCCGATGTCAGGAAAAGGGCTCTAGAGTATTCAGTGCTTCTGGTTTCAGGGCCTATGTTCTCTTTTTTTTTAAGTGTGAATCAAAAATTGCTTGATGTACATCCCTCACTAGGACCATCAGATTTAGCAAATACAAAATTACAAGGTACAACCGTTGAATTTGGATTTTAGAGAGCATGTTTTCTTAAGCGTAAGTATGTCTCCACGATGGCATGGAGTATCATTAACCTGAAAATTCCGAAACTTCAATTTAATACACGACATCTGCATTTTATCCAACTGCCAAATGGATTTGTAGTCTGACAGTGTGCATCTAGATGAGAATAGGTCTAGTTGCTTCCACTTTTTATACAGTCTTTTCCTGCTAATCATCTGAAATCTGTTTGCTGAACCACAGGGAGACTTCTCTCAAGAGAAGCACATTTCGGCCTGTGACAAGTCACCACTGTGCTGGTGTCTTATGATGACGGGTGCCTGTATGGCGGATCATGCTTGTTTGCCTTCGTTTTACTCCTGTTCTGTGGGCCGGCTGTCGCTAGCCCTTATGGGAGCTGGGGGCCAAATTCCTCACCACTGTATTCTGCTGGGACATTTTACTACCAGAATCTCACATTATCAAGGGTGTTTCTCCAGGGCTAGTGGAGTAGCGTAGGGGGGTCAGCATGCACACTAGTCATTTTTAATCTCTGCTGCTCCGTGCCTGGGAAAGCAATCATGCTCACATAAAGAAAGGAAAATAGAATTAGCCTCTTGACTCCATATGAAGTATCAGGCCCCTACTATGATATTGCACTTGATGGGTAGGCAGTAAAATGGAAATAATATGTGGGGTTGTATTTTCTCTTGGTTCAAGCATATCTCTAATGATAGAAGAACATAAAATGTATATCCTTGATATTAAGAGAGAAGAGATATGCTGACTGGGGGTACAGTGACCAGTGTGGTGTTTAATACGACTTATTCCATTTCTCGTCTTGCTTATAAAATATTTCTGTTTCTTTTCAGCAATTTGGTAAAATCTTAGATGTTGAAATTATTTTTAATGAGCGAGGCTCAAAGGTAAGCAACTTCATTCACTTTAGAATTGTTTAGATTATTTTTAATTTTTTTTAATGAATAATGGGAAACAACTGCACTGTTTTAATCAGCACGTTGTGAAAATACCCTTCCAGGGGGAATTCCTTTAGAGACTATTTCAGTTTCCAAAATGGTGGGAAATATATTGGGTTCTCTTTAAAATGTATAAGGGGATAATTTAAAATTGCAGTTTCATACCTATCTATCTATATATCAAGTTTCCAGAGGAAAATTATCCATGCTTAAAAAAATAATGTTGCTACATTTTTGTTTTGCAGTGATAATTATGTTCTTTATATTAAAAAGTGAGTTGATAGTCTCATGAGCAGGTAAATATGTGATTATTCTGTATTAATAAAGTGCAGTTATTTTCCTGGGTTGTAAGGGAGAAACATTTCATATACACCAACCTTTTGAATACAATTTTATTCATCAGTATGTTTACTAATCCACATTTGGTAATTTGGCATCATTAAAAATTTTTTTTTTCCTAGGAAACCAATTTTGAAGTAGGTTTTCGTAGAGCTAACAGTGCTAGTAAAAATCAGGGGTGAGGTGGAAGGGTGCCAACACCTTCAAAAAATGGAAGTATTTTGTCAGGGGGCGGGGAGGAAGGCCAAACCCTTTCAAACATCCTCTATAAAAGTGGTCATTACCTGGGAACGTACGAGAAGCACAGGTGCTCAGGCTCCAGCCAGATGTGTTGAACCAGATACTCTGAAATCAGGGCCCAGCAATCTCTGTCTTAAGAACCCTTCCAGGCCTGTCATCAAAGTTCCAAACACTGTGTCTTCCTGTGGAAGACAAATGCCAGTGCTTCTGTATCCAGAATACCCCCCTTTTTTGCATGCTGTGGGTGCTGACGGCTCCTTCAGCCTGCACCCACAGAAAACTCACAGACTCTCCCTCGAGGTAAACAGTGCATTTGGCATAGCTGTGGATGCTGAGGGATCCCAGGGTGGGAGGCTGTAAAGGGACTCAGACGTGGACCTCAGCAGCCAGCAAGTGGCCGCTTCCAAGAGTGGCCCTGTGTTCAGAGCCTCACTCCCGTGGCTGTCAGGAATCTGAAACTTCCTTCTCCCTCACCCTCAGACTGTGAAAGTGGACATTGAGAGAAATGGCTTCCTGGGTACACAGAGATGCCGATTTGAGCCCCATTAACTTTCCTGAACACAGACAATTTGGGACAGGTCTGTGCCCAGCAGGGTTACTGAGATGAGAGTTTTTCTCTAAGGCAAGTGTCAGCTCTCTGGGGCACAGCAGGCAGCAACTCCCCACGAAGCAGGCATAGAAATGTACTATTTCTTGGACTGTATGTACCCTCTCCCTGCACAGGAGACTTAGTATTAACTGAATAGGGCGATGCTGCTTGATTTGAAGGAAGAAAATTCCAGTATTCTCTTCTGCACAGCCAAAATGATTCTGTGATTCCCCAGATGAGTAAAAATGAAATCAATCCCTTATAGTCTCTGGTTCTGCGAGTTCAGAGACCCTGCCATCCTTCGATAACTTCAGGTGTTAAATGGTCCTTCTTGCGATATGTCGGGAGTTTGACCTCTAGGCAGGGGGGACAGTAAGCTGGCTCTTGTTCTGTGTCCTCTGTGGAGACCAGGACAGGGATGACCTCTGCTCCCGCCGAGCAGACCACGCCGAGAGAAAGAAGTGCCCAGCCAGATCCCCCACACCCAGGCCTGATGCACTCCTGGCAAAACCGGAGAAGACCTGGGAGATTAGCCAGCCTCCTTCTAACCCTGAGTCTGTATCACTACGGCTTCTAAAGGTTTTTTTTTAAATGTGCATCGAATTTATATTTTGTTTTTCTAACTTTTGCCAGTTGGAGAAAGCTACCATAATTCATTCTGAGAGATGTTTGGGACATTAGAAGAATATCGTTTGCTATATTGAAAGTGTAATGGCGGTGCTATTTTTAGGGCTTTTCTCATCATTCCTATGGTTAACCAGTCTCTGGGGCTCCAGGAGGAAGACCGTTTAACTTGGCCGCATCCCGAGTCTGACTTGGTGCAGCATTTTTTTTTGTTAGGAAACATCAAAAATAGCCTCTCTCAGTGGGCACGCTCCCTCCGCATGGACCGGACTTGCAGGTGCTGGAACTGACTGCTTAGGTACGGCGGGGGCGTCCTCGCGACAGTCCATTTGGGGATGGCTACATGGGGGCGACGGCTCACACAAGGCTATTTTTCATATTTGACTTTATCCTTTACAGGAAAGGACTTTATTTAAGGAAACATGTCCATTTACACAGTTGAGCAACCTGAACCCTCATTGTGAGCTCATTTTCATCATTTGGTGCTGGAGAAACAGCCAGGAGATGGGTGGGATCATAAGAGCTAGAAGCTCACCTTCTGGCCATTCTCTTTGGTGACAAACCCCAAGGCAGCTCCCTCAAGGCTATGTGAGCACTTAGGCTGTGTGTTCTGGGGGTGTTTAGTGTGTGCATGTGCACGGCACCTATGCCTACACAGGCAGTGTCTGTCTAAACCTCAGAATGCATACCGTCAGTGGTCCTTGTATATGTGGAGACCAAGTACACAAGGAAGCCGCATTTTCCAAAGATATGCGAGCCTTCGAAAATGACACTTAGATAACATTTAGGGGTGAAAGCACCACCCATTCATGTTTCCTTATAGGAGATTTAAAAACCATTGTTCAGCTCTGAAATGTTTTTTTGGGGGATGCAACTAGATAACAGCTATTGTTTAAGATACCTAGGAAATGTCCAGCCTGGTCGTGGATTCAAGAGACATCTTGAAGAATCAGCCCCATTCCAGGTACAAGACAGGTGAAGTCAACTGTGAGCAAAACAGAAGTACTTCCTGCCCTGGGATGTCCCCCAATAGCAGGAGGGGAGACTGGGGAAGCCAGCAGCAGCCCTGCAGCACGCTGCATTCTGTGGCCAAGGGGAGGCTGCCAAGAACCCGGGCAGGCTGAGCAGTACTGTTGGGAGGTGGGAAGGCTCTTGGGAAGACGCTGAGGGAGAGATGAGTAAGAATTTCCCAGGGAAAGGCGGGGCTGATGGTCTCCCAGGGAGAGGTGCTGAGGGCGCCAGGGTAGTTAGTGAGCTGTGAGATGTGAGGTGCTTAGTCCCTCAGAAAAATGAACCTGTAGACTTTTATCAGCAGCTCCCCTCTGATAGACAGGAGTTCTCTGCCCCTGAAGCGAGACGAATTGTATTTTCACGAGAAATGAAAAATCGGTGCTGTCCTCCATCCTGGGTGTACCAGAGCCTTTAGTTAAGATATAAAATGTTGCATTTGTATCCATACAGAAAAGGGAGCCATCACTTAAACAAACACCATGAAAACAAAACAAAACAAAAAAACAACTGGGATGCAAGAGGGTTAGAATTCATGATTCACGAGAAGAGTTTAAAATAAGCAAGTCACCTTGTGCAGCAGTCCCTCTTGGAGTTGTCGGTATGTGCCTTCCCATCCTAGGGCGGCACACGGCGCGGTCTTTTCCCCAGCAGCCTGGTGCCTTCTGTGCTCCACCCCATGTAGAGGTAAACCCTGAAAGCAGTGTCTGTCATCCAGCAGGCCGTGGCATGTGCTTCCCTTCTGCAGCCCCCGTGCACCCTTCATCTTTAAGGGTTACCCACGGGCACCACACTCGATTTGTACGTGCTCCAGGCCAAGACCAGAGTGGGCCCCTTTTAAAGGCTGAGATAAAAAATATTCAGAATATTGTTAAGAACCATACGCTGAGGTTTCTTTGAGATAGACCTCTGGCCTTGAAGCAGGTTCAAAGAACCTCGGCACCTGTCCTCATAGTTGCCAGACCTGTGCTTGATAGACGGGGGTTACCTAAAAATGGCCACACAGTCATTGGCTATGACCTAGTTGCCCTCTGAGCATCCTGGCAATGTCTGAGCCACCAGAGAGGCCATTCAGTTCTTGTCTTGGTGGGAGATGGGACTGTCCGCTGGAAAGGTAGGAAAGTCCCTTTGGTATGTGGGGAACTGTGTCGAGAGCAAGTTCTTTGGAACCCAACTTTCTCAGATCTCAGTCAGTCATCTCAGCAGCTGGAAATGGGACATGCAGAGCATCTCAAAAAAAAAAAAAGAAAGAAAAGAAAGAAAAAGAGAGAGAGAGAGAGAGAGAGAGAAGTTTAGCAGAAAATAATTAACAGTAAGCATAGTCATGAAGAGAATCTGTGTATTATCTTCACTTCAAAGCACAGTAAGGCCTTGAGAGCCAGATGGAGTCCTTCCCTTGTACTTGATGAACTTTTCTTGGGGTTTAGGATGTATTTCTGTCTCCACCTTCATCTCTCCCTGACTTACACACTGCTGATTTCAGGCCCGTACGGTTGGCCTTGGGTTCGGACTGAAATCACGATGACTTGGTTCTTCGGGATAATGTTTGACAAGTGGGTTGAATGCCCTGTTTCACCTGGGCGTGTTCTTCTCAGTGCCCCGGTAACAGTGACTGCTGGTACGCATAGACCCAGTGATGCTCCCGGGCCCTCCACCGATAAGACTTGGATTATGGATTCTCTTTCCTGGCCAGAGTCCTGGTATTCCCTATTAAATGGCTGTGCATCCAAGGAGTTAGGCGTAGAGGTGAGGCTAAGAACACTGCTGTGGGATTTCAGCTGTACCCCTGCATCTAAGATACAAATAACCAAGTCACACAGATACTCACTTCACAAACCCACTTCATTCCATAGGTTGCTGTATAGAAACTGGCAATACAATATTTCTACTTCATGCAATGAGCCAAAACCTTCTTTTGATGTTGATGGTGCCCGTGATATGACAGACCGTCGAAATGCAACTGCTGGGCTCCACTCTCGGGCTCTGATCTGGTAGATACGTGGTGGGTCTCAGGGATCTAAGCATTTAATATACTCTGAAGTTCCTTCTGATGTGCCAATTTGGGGACCCACTGGCCAAGACTGAGAATCAACAAATAGAGCAATGGCCCCCAATTCTGTCTTTTGCCCATTGAAGACCTGGTATTTCAAAACTAATCAGTTAGTATGTTTGAGTACTTAACGTGGGCAACACCTCTGTAAATCCTGAGCTTTGCAGATCACGTTAGCGACCTAGACAGGGCTTGCAGCTTCATGCTAGTTGGTTATACTGACCTGTGATTTGTAGTAATTGTCTGTTTTATTAGTAAGACTGAATATCAAACTTCCCCAGATAAACATAAAGCCGGCATTTACCCTATGCAACGTTTACCCAATGCAAATAGAAGTCCCAACACGTTGCATTATTTCACCCAGTTTACACTGTGAAAACCAGAACAGTTTGGGCAAATTTGCACTGGAATTGTTTCAAAAGGTTGGTGTGTATTTCTGAACAAGATGTACAAATGTTTTTAGGGGCTTTAAAAATAATGTGTTATATTTCCTGTACTCTTCTTAGGAACAGTGTCAGTGAAGAAAAAAGATGGATTTTGACAATGTGATATTTAGGGGGGTTGTTTTTGAGGCTGAAATATTAAAACAAAATATGTCAGTGGTGAAGTAAAGGGACTGTTTATTATCTCTCAGGAAAAGAGGAAGTGCCCAGAGTGTTATTATAAATAACATCCTATTAAAGAGGCTTTTTATTTTCTCCCTGTTGGTATGAATACCAGCATTATGTCTTAGAACTTTACAATGTGTCTACGTATGTCCCTTTTTGGTTAATACACTAGTCTGAAAAATTGAGAAATTCAGAAGCATGTCTATTTTTTGGGGGGAGGAGAAAGTACTCATATAAAAAAAGTTTGCATTACTGATCAATTGAACTGTTTGCATTATTAATCAATTGATGTTTATTTCTATTCATTTCATGTGATTATTTTGTTTATAAATCAGAGTTTAAGATTGATTATAAAAAAGGTCTTTCCTTTTTTTTAGGCTTCTAATTTTTATTTTTTGAGAAGTAAAGGCTGTAGAATTGATAAATCTGAATAACCCTAAAATTGCATGAAGAAGAGATGTTCTTAAAACCACACGGCATGACTCTGTAGGCAATGTTAGAAGATTTTGGCATTCCTTGTTGAATTTCGTGCACACGTTTTATTTTATTTCATTCTTAATTTGCATGTCCAGAAAGTGGTTCCCTTTTCTTTTCCTTGTTATTTCATTTTTATTCTCTGTGAAGACACTGTAAATTTATTTTGATCTCATTTTCTTTCCGTTAGATTTATTTTCTTCCGTAGTGACATGTAGAGAGGTATTTTTGGTATCATTCTTTGACTTCCTCAGGGGTTACATGCTAATCTGGTGACAGAAAACAAAAAATCTTGTTCACATTTGTCGCTTACTTATTGCACACCTTAGTACTCTTATAATTTCTCTAATTTGCATGTTACAGAACTGAAGCCAGGACGAGAAATAGAGATTAAAGCGAGAGAACGTTACACAGTGGTCGTGGACTGAAATAATAATCTGCATGTTGTTTTCCCTTCTCCCTCCTGCATGCAGGGATTTGGTTTCGTAACTTTCGAAAATAGTGCCGATGCGGACAGGGCGAGGGAGAAATTACACGGCACCGTGGTAGAGGGCCGTAAAATCGAGGTGCATGTTCAAAATATTTTCCTTTTCATCTTTTTTATAAATGTCTGCTTCACGCTCATTTGTCGTTTCAGATGCATCACTGTGTCTTGTATGTGACCCTATTCCCTTGTCATTGTTTATATATATATATATTTATATATAAAAAGGAAAACTGGCCTTACTTTTTTTTTTAAAAAAAAAGTTTACTTTGTGACATTACTCTTATTTCTGATGAAAGGTGGATGGCAAACATGAGACAAAAGAAAGGTTGATCTGAAAGGTTTTTTTGTTTGTTTGTTTTATTTTAGTTTTCATGTTTTATAATCAAGGGTGCAATAGATTTCAAACGTGGTGACAGTGCTGCAGAACAAAACCGAGTATAGAACCGTTTCTTTTTCTTTTCTTTTCTTTCTGCTGCAGGGTTGAGGAGGGATCCACAGTGGTGTGCAAATTAAGCCAAATTGTGAAAGAGATCACTTTTGAAAGAACAGTTGTTTAAAAAAAAAAATGAGAGGTCTTTGTCCACTTATACCTTTCATTTTTTTTTTTCTGAAGAAGCCCATTTGAATCTTTGTATTCTTTGGATAATAAAGTGAATAACCAAACGGGATTTCCTGTTCAATATCTGGCTCCACTTCACTGCAAGAAATAAATGCTAAAATTTCCAATACTCAGAATCAGCTCTTTCTACCACTGGATCTCCCTCAACGTGGCCACTGGGTCATATTTGTTAAAACTTAAAGAAAAAAAAAAAACCAGTTACAAATGCTTTAGTCTTTGGAGTAAGATGTTGCATATTTTGCCTTTCATTTTCCCCCCTCGACGATAACGCTTAGGCCCCTCACCAAACTCTCAGTAACCATGGTAACTGTATACAAATCCATGCTGGCGATGGTGGTGAATGGTAAGTGGTGAAGTCCATCTGCCGTTTCACGTATTTAGTGCTGATATATCTATATACATATATATATACCACGTGAATTTTTTTGACTTGTTGTATTAAGTTTTCTTGATGCTCTATTTTTTTGGATATTGGTACGCCTGTAATTGAGTGTACGTTCTAAGCTAGCCTGGAAGGCACTGACTGGATTGAGATATGATCGGTGCACATCTTACTCAGATTGTTAACTTCATATTGTGTTAAACAATGCACCCTCTTTTCTCCTTTTGTTAGCTGTGACTTTAAAGCTTGAATGATTTCGTTAATCCTTGCAATGTAAAAGGCTCTTGTTCCGAGTGTTGAATGCTAGATGTTGCTTCCCCAATGGTTCTTCTGTCCTACGGTGTTGCACACGGCTAAAACTTGTTTGTCCCTTTTTTGATATTTATGTTCCCTTGTACCTTGTCTCTCCCCTCTTCTATTCCACTGCATGTTCCTTCATATGAACTTTATTTTATGTTTAAAAAGTATTTATTGTTTCTGTGTTACCATGGAGTACACGCATGCTTTTAAATCTTCAATTATGCAGTTTCTTTTAATTTGCTTTTACTGTCTCCTTATTAAACTTTTAAATGATATGACATTGCTGTATTGAAATGATTTGTAAGTTAAAATGGTTATGAAGTAAATGTAATTATAAAAATGTATGATTTTGTTATGCACCTACTGCCTTTTATAAATTAAAATGCATTTTAGTTTTGTTTTCGTTTTTAATAAATAATCACAGTCATAATGCATGCAACTAATGGAACTGTGGGCTGGCTCTAGAATATGTTCTCACTCGAGTTTTCTATGTACATAGGTAAATAATGCTACAGCTCGTGTAATGACAAATAAAAAGACTGTCAACCCTTATACAAACGGTAAGTGGAGATTGGCCTTTTATAAGAGGTCGCCTCTACCTCTGAATCTACTAAATAATTTAACCAGGGCATCTGTTGTAACAAGTCACGTTTGCCTTAGCATGGCTTCTATGTTCTTGCCACTGACCTGCTACAGGGAACCACCTGAATCAATAAGATAATTTTCATAACAAAGGCAAATTTAGTTTCCAGGTTCAGGGTGCATGGCCCTCCTTCAGTCTCTCTGGAATAACTCCCACTGGGGGTGAGATGCAGTATTTATTGAAGAATTACTTGAGTAATTTATTTGTTGTTATTATCGTAAGTTCAGGGAAAATAGAAGTTTCATTTGTTTCTTTTTTTACCACCATCTTCACATTGATCACTAATCATTCCTGGAAGTGGGACTGTAGAATTTGGTCCTGGCTTTGAGTCTTCTCTGGAGCTATTAAGCTTTTGAAGTGGCTTAGAGGGGGCCTCATGATGCGTTCCCTACTATGAGTGCATTATTTGCTGCCCTCTGAATCGCCTCGTTCCAGGTCGGGCCAGGTGAAGACCTTGCTGTGTACTGCAGGCCCCTCTGGGACAATGCAGTTCTGTCCTTACTAAACGAGATGTCTCAAAACTCTCCATGCTAAGTACTCACTTCTATGTGAAGAATTAAAAATGTTCAAGCATTTTGATTCTTTAGTCCTCAGAATAAATCTCTCTTAAAGATACATAGGGGGCAAGCTTCTAATATGCTAATCACATACTTAATTCTCCCCCAAATTAGAACAAATATAATGTAAGTTAAAGTATGTACACTCAGTGGAATATTATATCCATGAAAATGAGTAGGATGAAAACCATGAAGGACCTCATAATAAATGAAAATTTTTAAATAAAAGTTACATATATAGTATGATTTCAACTCAGTTATGGTACGCATTAGACCAAAATGCTGATGGTTGAGTTGAATGGTGAGGCTGAAATATTTTTTTTTCTTTGTTTTATTGGTTTTTAAAAAGGGAAGATGTATGGAATTTTCCATCTTTAACATTGTAATGACACATGATGCTTGGAGATTTGTTTTTTAAGAAAGGGAAAAATAAGAAAGAAACATGAAAGAAAAGGTTAAAATATATTTTGAATAACACCACAACCAACTTAGTTTCCTTCCCTTCCCCCCCAGAAGACACCACTATTATAGATTATTGTCTGTACTTTTATTTTGCATTTTCATGCATATATATGTAATGAGGATATATTTATATATCTACAGTATTGTGTACCTGCGTTTTTTGTAAGTGCGATCATGGTATATATATTATTTTTAATTGGTTATGTAAATCAACATGGAATTCTTTCAGTGTTACTGTATATACAGACCAAATTCATTCTTTTTATTCATTCTGTAATTTTCCATAAAATGGATATATGAGTTTATTCCAACCTTCCATATTGATTGACAGTTAAGGCTATTTTATTTTTCTGTTTTAAACAATAGTTTTAGCATTTGGTAGCTTTGCTTTAGTTTTAATTCTTCCATCTGCCAATGGCTACCAGTTTGACTAAGTGAATTTGTTCTTATTTTTAAGAGAGTTCATCATTAAACAGAGAGTCACCCTCAGTATAGTAGGGCTCTATGCTGAGAGACCAGAAGAATTATTTGTTCTGCTGACTCATTTTGCCAGCTTCCACAACCCAAGATACATCCTTAAATGGTATAGAAAATGTCCACAACAGACTTCAAATGCCCAGTGTGACTCGAAGCAAACCTCTGATGTGTATGTCCAAAGCCTTTCTACTCAAGTAAAAATGATAGCTCTGCCGCATGCCAGAGTTACTACCTGGTGACAGCCACCTGACTACTGGGCATTTTCTTTAATTATGAAGTAGCAATTGTGTGTGTGTGGTGCGTGTGTGTGTGTGTTTGCATACATGTGCCTAGGTGCTCCTGTGTGCTGTTCATGTGGGAAAATGAGACAAGGGGAACCAAGTATTATTCCATACGTATGCATACTTATTTTAAAGAAATAGTTATAATCAATGTCATTTCAACCCAGGGGCTGAAAACTGAACCTGTGGGATTTTTGGACATAATTCAAAGCCCATTCATTAACAGCCAAATTTCTGGAACACAGGCCATATGACATTAAATTAAAATGTGCTTTTAAAAATTTTAAATGCATGCACTGGGCCCACATGAAGTCCTATTAAGAGGACATAGTTAGCCCTATTTTAAAGATGCAAAAACTGAGGCTAGATAAGATGAAGTGATTATGGAAGTTTTTTCTTTTTATTATGAAGGAACAAAATCTTGTGGCCATACCTGTGTTTGTTAGTATATCGCTTCCTCCCTGTCATCTTACAGAACTGCGCTCAGATGGCCACCAGCTAGGATAACAAAAAGCTCACTAAATGCGCAGCCCCATATTCCTGCCAGATGTTGCCATAAATATCCCACATCCCATCCCAGGTAGCCGTGTATTCTGAGTTTCCAGGAATAAATTGTGTGAATCTGTCCTCTGTATACTTGCAAGGGGCACTTAGAGGCTTACCCTGTCACATGACTGGGTATGGTACGTGAAGGGTGGATGGACAGTCATAGTCGAACTGACTTAAAAAAACAAATGCAAATCCTAATTGTATAAAGACGGCTTCTAGAGAGGAGATCGTGGAGAGTTTTGGTATTCAAAGAAAAACAGTTCTCAAAGCTTTCACGATCTTCAATTCACAAGTATCATCACCACCAATACAGTTTCCCATAAATTGCAACCAGCGTAACTGAAAATATATGGGACCCTCTCAGATCCATAACAAGAGTGACTGTGTTAAGAGAAGACAGTATCACTGTAAAAAAAAAAAAAANTCCTTCTCCCTCACCCTCAGACTGTGAAAGTGGACATTGAGAGAAATGGCTTCCTGGGTACACAGAGATGCCGATTTGAGCCCCATTAACTTTCCTGAACACAGACAATTTGGGACAGGTCTGTGCCCAGCAGGGTTACTGAGATGAGAGTTTTTCTCTAAGGCAAGTGTCAGCTCTCTGGGGCACAGCAGGCAGCAACTCCCCACGAAGCAGGCATAGAAATGTACTATTTCTTGGACTGTATGTACCCTCTCCCTGCACAGGAGACTTAGTATTAACTGAATAGGGCGATGCTGCTTGATTTGAAGGAAGAAAATTCCAGTATTCTCTTCTGCACAGCCAAAATGATTCTGTGATTCCCCAGATGAGTAAAAATGAAATCAATCCCTTATAGTCTCTGGTTCTGCGAGTTCAGAGACCCTGCCATCCTTCGATAACTTCAGGTGTTAAATGGTCCTTCTTGCGATATGTCGGGAGTTTGACCTCTAGGCAGGGGGGACAGTAAGCTGGCTCTTGTTCTGTGTCCTCTGTGGAGACCAGGACAGGGATGACCTCTGCTCCCGCCGAGCAGACCACGCCGAGAGAAAGAAGTGCCCAGCCAGATCCCCCACACCCAGGCCTGATGCACTCCTGGCAAAACCGGAGAAGACCTGGGAGATTAGCCAGCCTCCTTCTAACCCTGAGTCTGTATCACTACGGCTTCTAAAGGTTTTTTTTTAAATGTGCATCGAATTTATATTTTGTTTTTCTAACTTTTGCCAGTTGGAGAAAGCTACCATAATTCATTCTGAGAGATGTTTGGGACATTAGAAGAATATCGTTTGCTATATTGAAAGTGTAATGGCGGTGCTATTTTTAGGGCTTTTCTCATCATTCCTATGGTTAACCAGTCTCTGGGGCTCCAGGAGGAAGACCGTTTAACTTGGCCGCATCCCGAGTCTGACTTGGTGCAGCATTTTTTTTTGTTAGGAAACATCAAAAATAGCCTCTCTCAGTGGGCACGCTCCCTCCGCATGGACCGGACTTGCAGGTGCTGGAACTGACTGCTTAGGTACGGCGGGGGCGTCCTCGCGACAGTCCATTTGGGGATGGCTACATGGGGGCGACGGCTCACACAAGGCTATTTTTCATATTTGACTTTATCCTTTACAGGAAAGGACTTTATTTAAGGAAACATGTCCATTTACACAGTTGAGCAACCTGAACCCTCATTGTGAGCTCATTTTCATCATTTGGTGCTGGAGAAACAGCCAGGAGATGGGTGGGATCATAAGAGCTAGAAGCTCACCTTCTGGCCATTCTCTTTGGTGACAAACCCCAAGGCAGCTCCCTCAAGGCTATGTGAGCACTTAGGCTGTGTGTTCTGGGGGTGTTTAGTGTGTGCATGTGCACGGCACCTATGCCTACACAGGCAGTGTCTGTCTAAACCTCAGAATGCATACCGTCAGTGGTCCTTGTATATGTGGAGACCAAGTACACAAGGAAGCCGCATTTTCCAAAGATATGCGAGCCTTCGAAAATGACACTTAGATAACATTTAGGGGTGAAAGCACCACCCATTCATGTTTCCTTATAGGAGATTTAAAAACCATTGTTCAGCTCTGAAATGTTTTTTTGGGGGATGCAACTAGATAACAGCTATTGTTTAAGATACCTAGGAAATGTCCAGCCTGGTCGTGGATTCAAGAGACATCTTGAAGAATCAGCCCCATTCCAGGTACAAGACAGGTGAAGTCAACTGTGAGCAAAACAGAAGTACTTCCTGCCCTGGGATGTCCCCCAATAGCAGGAGGGGAGACTGGGGAAGCCAGCAGCAGCCCTGCAGCACGCTGCATTCTGTGGCCAAGGGGAGGCTGCCAAGAACCCGGGCAGGCTGAGCAGTACTGTTGGGAGGTGGGAAGGCTCTTGGGAAGACGCTGAGGGAGAGATGAGTAAGAATTTCCCAGGGAAAGGCGGGGCTGATGGTCTCCCAGGGAGAGGTGCTGAGGGCGCCAGGGTAGTTAGTGAGCTGTGAGATGTGAGGTGCTTAGTCCCTCAGAAAAATGAACCTGTAGACTTTTATCAGCAGCTCCCCTCTGATAGACAGGAGTTCTCTGCCCCTGAAGCGAGACGAATTGTATTTTCACGAGAAATGAAAAATCGGTGCTGTCCTCCATCCTGGGTGTAC